TTTGATAATGGCAACAGAACAAAATTCTTGAACCTTTAAATACAATAGAGAACAGGGAAAAAGCTTTGAAAAAGCCTCTATAAAAGATATGAAGGGGAGCTATGAAGGGGGTTTCATATTTTCTAAAAGCTCAATTTAAATAGGCAATGTAATTTAAGCTGCTCTTACAAAACTTCACTTTCTGCATGTGAATGAAATAATATCTATGAAAAAATATTCAGAGGCCAAATATATTCAGAGTCCCCATAAAATAACTGGATGACAGAGTGAAGACTTCATATCAAATACCAGCAAGCAGGCCTGTATGTTTATGCAAAAAACTCAGACAGTATTTATTACTGTGTTCCCTTTGTTTCTTTTCAGAGTGTTAAGCCTGTTACTTTTGCTCAATAAAGTCAGGAACAGAAACAATTCTTTGAACTGAAACTGCTATTAACCTGTTTTCAGCACATCAGGAGCACTAGTGTAAGAAGAACTATGCATACATATTTATAGATATATATAAGTTCCTGGTTTAAAATACTTTGCTCTAATTAAATGTTTCATGCCATTTTCCCATTGCAGTCAGCCAGTTCTTATTTTTCCAAATCCTTCTGGTGTGTTTTCATATTTAGAGAATCCTGAAATATTATCTCTACATTCACAGTAAGTAAACTTGCATTACTTGATTTTTACAGAAGAACATATACATAACAATACCTTTCCACATTCTGTCGGTGTGTAAAAGGTGGCTGATGATTTCTATTATATTCTTCACGTGCTGCAAGCCTAGTTTCTGACACCTGGAAAATTTATGTATATAGAAGTTACAAAACAGATATTGCTCTGTATTGTACATTACCTCTCAATATTAAACAAAAAGAGTGCATCAAAAGTCTCATGCTTTACTCTGCACAGAAAAATTGTCACATACTTTGGATTGATTTTTCAGAACAAGAAGCACGACTGCAGTACAGAGGCATGCTGCATAACACCACGCATCTCACATGAATTTAAACTGTGCAAAAGTTAAGAGAAGCATTTCGTTCCTCTACTACATGTAAAACTCAAAACATGATTACAATGAAGACAGAAAGAGGTACACTTTCCATTAGTGTATGCCAGCAGTTACATTCCCTGTGAAGAGCTATGATGTGATCCCACACAACTGGTGACAGAGGAACTGTTGTGCAAGCCTTTTGCATGTGATTATTTAAAAAGAATGACAGCTCTTCTCTGAGTTTTCTACTTTGTTCCCACAAAACATACTTAACGGTTTCACAGTTAACAGAGTTTCAAGACATTTGTACAAAACTTAGAGAACTGATTTGTTAAAGGAGGAGAAGTAAAATTCAATAGAACAAAAGACGCCATGATACAAGTGACATTCAAAATGAAATTTTACTAAGAATATAATTTAAATCTACACCAACAAATGATTAACCACCCCATTTTTAATTTATACAACTGTTCAGTAGTAACCAGCATAGCAAGGAAACGCTTACCAACCCAATTAAATTCCTGTCTGCTGAGGACAGTGACCACAACACAAGATACTCATTTAGGAAAAAGTAGCACAAAATGTAGTAGACAAAAACCACTGCAAGCTCGCTATGAATATATTATCAATTGCAATTTTGTTACCCTACAATTATATGACCAAAGTTCTTTAGATGAACAGAAACTGGTGCAGATATTCAGAGATTACTGATCATCACGCTGATCCCCACCATCTCTATTTTATATATTCCACCAAATTTTCTCTGTCTTAATCATGGAAGATGAGGACATCTTGGTATCAGAACTATCCCATTTTGTTCAACATTGCACAGTATTGGCAAATTTAATAGCTTGAATACCTCAGTCTTTTAGCAATACAGTAACAAATACCAGTTTTGCTCAAAATGTACATAGCCTTCCTTGAAAGTTAGACTTGAAACATGTTCTCCTGACAAATAAGTGCTCTGCTAAATGCAAACTATTAGACAACGTTTACAAAACAGTAATTGCTAAAGATTTCGAGAACAACATGTAATTTTCATTTTCAAATTCATGTTAGAGAATAAAAATCCCCCATTTTCACCATAGCCTTAAGCGATGCTCTCTTACCATCTCGTCTTCCCACTGGAAAAAGTTACAATCTTTTCTACCCCTACAAGCTGAACAAGCATAAAATCTTCTTCCCTCTTCTTCTCCTTTGCTGGTTTTCACAAACAGAAGAGCAGGACCTAAAGGACAAAAGCAATTAATTGTACAATGACCCACGGGACAGACAAGTCTGTTTTAATGCCGCCACTGCAAGGGTCGGGCTCCCAGAATAAAGCATCAACAGAAGCTGCTGCAACACACAACCCCTCACATGGGAGCCGAGAAAGCAGCTGGAGACGATCAAGAGACGCTCTGGGAGGTGCCAAACCCCCACCCCTCGGGAACTGCGGCCACCGCAGTCACGCCCGTCAGAGTCCCAGGTCGGCCCCGCTCCTCCACTCAGCGGGACCCGCACCCTACCCGCCAAGAGCGGCCTCCTCACCGTGCGGGCAGCTGGGAGCGCCGGCCGCCACGCCGAGCAG